GGTGAGGTGTAGTGGTATGGTGGTGGTGGTGATTTCACAGGTGGTGGTGGTGAGGTGTAGTGGTATGGTGGGGGTGGCGACTTTTTAAGTGGCGGAGGTGATGTGTAGTGGTAAGAAGGTGACTTTTTAGGTGGTGGAGGTGATTTGTAGACATATGGTGTCGGATGTGAAGGGGTTGGTGGTGGAGGAGACTTGTAGTGATAAGTGGGTGTTGGTGGCGGTGGTGACTTGTAAAGGTAAGTTGGCGATGGTGGTGGAGGAGACTTGTAGTGGTAAGTGGGTGTTGGTGGCGGTGGTGACTTGTAAAGGTAAGTTGGCGANAGACTTGTAGTGGTAAGTGGGTGTTGGTGGCGGTGGTGACTTGTAAAGGTAAGTTGGCGACGGTGGTGGCGGAGACTTGTAGTAGTAAGGAGCCGGAGTCGGTGTTGGCTTTGGCTTCTCACAAATCTTGTAAGGAGTCTTGGGACCGTAAGCAAATGGTTTAGCGTAAAGGACAACTAGGTGAGCATTCTTGGACTTGACCTTAAGCTTAGCACCCTTCAAACCTCCATGGAGATTTGTTGGGATGTTACAAGTAGTACCATTTGGTGGCATATGAAGCTTAGCAATACAAGCCTTGGCTCCTCCGTATTTGGAATAATCCAAACCCTCAACAGTAATTGCAAATTTGCCATTGATCTTTGTCTTTCCATATGCAACAATTTCCTTTTCACCAGCAGCCTTGCATGTTACCTCCACGACAGCACCTATTCCACCCAAATAAAATACGTCAACATCTTTTGGTCAACCCTTTATAGAACTCACAAATAATTGAGAACCAATTATTATCATATTTCATTAATTTAAGATTATTTTTAAAAGTCTTATAGATCTAAATCTAATTTATTTTTTTATAATAATTTTTTTTTATTTGATTGTGGGTAAATTTAATTTTCAGTAACAACAATGTTTTTTTATTTCACCATCCAAGTAATATATATATATATATATATATATAGGGATGTTATCCTACACCCTTTGTCATTCCTACACCGTATACAACCCTCATATCAACCATTCAATTTTTAATCAATTAATTGTTTCCTAATATAAAGTATTAATCATAATTAATAAACTCTATTCATATTCCATAAATATTCAAATCATAATAAATGAATTCCAATCATTTTTATAAATATCTTAATTAATTGGGTTGCAAAGGTTGTACAAATGCACAAGGTTGTAAAAGAAATATACCCTATTTATATATATTGGTAAAAAAAGATGTATTAAACTATATATATGACAAGTCAATTTATTTTCAAACATAACATAATAAATAAAGGAATAAAATACAACAGTTTTGAATAAATATATAAACAGAAAAGTTAATACATTACTTTTCCAATAATGATATATTTTATGTTTTTTTTTATTAACCTGGATAATCAATCCGTTACGATCGTATATTTTATTTGTTTGTTTTTGTGTTCCATGAATCAATTATAGAGGCGCCAGCAAAGATATATAGAATATAATGTATGTAGCTATTTTGTTATAAAAACTTTACAAAGTTAATTAATTTTTACCTTTGAGGTGGTGCTTGGCGTGGGATTTAACTGGGTATTTCCAGTCATAGCAGCTGTAGCAGTAAACTTTACCGACCACCTTCACGATTACTTTGTGGTGGTGAGGGTGAGGGTAGGAGTGGTAGGGAGTTGGTGGTGGAGGAGAAGTGTAGTAGTAGTGGGGAGGTGATTTGGTTGGTGGTGGCGGAGAAGTGTAGTAGTATGGAGGTGGTGGAGAATGTGCCGGTGGGGGAGGAGACTTGTAGTAGTATGGCGGTGGTGGAGAATGTACTGGTGGGGGAGGAGACTTGTAGTAGTATGGTGGTGGCGGTGACTTCACGGGTGGTGGTGGGGACTTGTAGTAGTATGGTGGTGGTGGAGAATGCACCGGGGGAGGAGGAGAATTATAGTGGTATGGTGGTGGTGGTGACTTGACCGGTGGCGGTGGGGACTTGTAGTAGTAAGGTGGCGGTGGAGAATGTACAGGAGGAGGAGGAGAATTGTAATGGTATGGTGGTGGTGGTGGTGGTGATTTGACAGGTGGAGGTGGGGACTTGTAGTAGTATGGCGGAGGTGGAGAATGTACCGGGGGAGGAGGAGACTTGTAGTAGTAAGGTGGTGGTGGTGAATGTACCGGTGGAGGAGGAGATTTGTAATGGTATGGTGGTGGTGGTGAATGTACTGGTGGAGGAGGTGACTTGTAGTAGTATGGTGGTGGTGGTGGTGACTTGACAGGTGGTGGTGGAGATTTGTAGTAGTATGGTGGGGGTGGAGAATGTACCGGCGGAGGAGGAGACTTATACAGATAAGGTGGTGGCGGGGATGGTGGAGGTGGAGGTGGAGATTTGTACACATAAGGTGGTGGAGGAGAAGGTGAAGGGGGAGGTGGAGACTTGTACACATAAGGTGGTGGAGGAGAAGGTGAAGGTGGAGGTGGAGACTTGTACACATAAGGTGGTGGAGGCGAAGGAGAAGGCGGTGGTGGTGGAGAAGGAGAAGGCGGTGGTGGTGAAGAATAGATGTAAGGTTTTTCAGCCGAAACAGCAATAAGATTAGAAACAGCGAATATTGTGAAAGCAATGAGTATAGGCCATAGTCGGCGATGGCCGACGGCAGAAGGTGTCATGGTTCACCGGCGGCAATGGAGGCGGAGGTGGTGGTGGTGGTGATGAGTTTGTGTAATAAAGTTAGAGGATATTTATAGTTAAAAGACAGAAGAAGATGGTATGCAATTTGTATATTTAAAAATTTGGGAATACAGGTGGAGCATATGAGGGCTCGTTCCGACCACTTCGAGTTCGATGCATACCCCCTGCTCCCAACATCATTACTCTTCCACCCAAATTAAACAATAAATTAAATCATTTTTCTAATAATTATTAAATATATAAAACATTTATTTTCTATAACATTACATCCATTTCAACCATTTAATAGTCTGATTGGTTTGAGCTTGACTTCAAAGATCAAAAATACCTAAAGGTCTCAGGTTCAAATCAAAGAAGAAATAAAAATCATTTTGTAGCCACGGAGTTCTGAGATTAATCGGCTCGCATAGCGGGTTGGATATACAGGTTAATAAAAAAAATTCAACCATTTCTTAATAGTTTTTAATTAATAAATATAAAAAGGCTTCTAGTTGTAGGTACAATTGGAATTGATTATCTCATTTTATAGTTTATTAATTTTTTGAAATTTTCAAACCCGGTAAACGTGTACCCGAATAAGAGTGCTCCCATCACTTACCGGATAAGACTTTCTATTCTTATTATCGTTCTTACTGGGTAAGATTTTTGGCATTTGCCATGTACATCAGATGAGGAAAGTTACCCAATCAACACTTATCAGGTAAGTATTTAGTAAATAGTCCCTAAGTCGAATATATTATAATTATTATTTTATTGATTTGAAAATTGAATTGTTGGGTCTAGTTTATTGGATCATTAACATAATGGGCCTGAATGGTTTATGCAAACCAAACTTTTCTGGCCCCATTTGCATTGCAGTGGTACTTTTACATTTAGATATGATTGATTTTGTGTGCTTGTGCACGATATAAGAAATCCTGAAAAATAAAATCAAAAATGATGTCTTGGAAATCATGATGCCTGTAAACCTCTTTAATTTTGTTGCTGCAAATGCTCATGTTATGCATTACCTAATCATTTATTTCTTCAAAAGTTATCTAGGGTTGTACTGCTATTGATGTGATCAAAGTCATTACTTGAATGTTGGCGTGCCCCCAGTCACATGTGGGATCGTACGTAATGGCGACAAAATAACCTAACGAGGCTTTGCTAGGGTAGGTGAAAGAAAAGTTGAATCTATCATAGATACCTAACAGAAAGCTCATGCAACGTTAAAGATGTCATAAATTATGTATACTACATACCTGATTCAGGCATAAATGGTTCTGTTATGTTGGTTTTCTTTTGTATATTTTATGGAGATGGTGTCCTCAAGTTAAAAGAATTTATGGGTCCGTCACTTCTTTTCGCTACTGTGATCTGTTAAAATTATACTGAACTTCTCATGTGTTATGTCAATCGTTTTCGTTTGACTATGAATTCATTAAAGTACAATTTAATATGTGTTTGTTTAGAAGTGGGTATGAATACTTTTTAGAAAATCATGTACACATGTATTGATTTGGAAATTAAAAAAAGGTTATTTAATATTTATAGTTAAATGATGATAATATTTTAAAATACATATTTAATCCATTGACTCTATTAATTGTGACATTTTCCAACTTATTTTAAAATTTCTATATGAATATAAATTAATATCTTATTTGTTCGCATCTTAGATTTAAACATCCAAATAATTGATACAATTACTTGCTCCAAAGTAACATGTATATAAAAAGCCATTACACTGAATAGGGGATTTGACCTTTGAACAACTATGGCTTTTTTATAATTTATAAATATAAATATATATATATATATATATATATATAGAGAGAGAGAGAGAGAGAGAGAGAGAGAGAGTATGTTTGTTTTAAATGCAACTCATCATATTTGTACAACTAATGCAATCCAATCAATTGGGATATTTATGAAAATGATGAAAGTTCATTCATTATGATTTAAATATTTATGTAAGATGACTAGAGTTCATTAGTTAATCCATACTTTATATTATAAAACAATAAAAACTTTTATAAAATCACATATTCATCAAAGTAAATGGACGGTTGAGATTGAGTTGTATTGGTTGTACAAATATAAAGAGTTGCATAATAACTCATATATATATATATATATATATATGAGCGATCAAATGCAAACCACCAAATTTGTACAAACCGTGTAAACTACCTTCATTCGTCGATTTCGTTGTTTAATCTTATGAATTTTTTTTCATGAGATTGTTTAATCTTGTGAAATTGTTTTATATAATACTTTTTTTGACGAAGTTTTTTCATATATGTTTATAAAATTGTTTCATATAATACTTAATAAAATTTTAATGAAATTGTTTCATGTATTTCTCTAAAATCAAAATAATGAAGATGATAATATCCATTATTAACACTCTTCACAATAAAATGATTAATCAACCTCTCATAATTACAAAAAAATGAACAAAATGAAAATTATGATTGGTTTAATGAGATTTGTACAAATAACATAGTTTACAAAGTAAACCTTCTCTCTCTCTCTCTCTCTCTCTCTATATATATATATATATATATATATTCTCTGGTGATACTAAGAGGGTAGTAAAGTCGGTGATCGATGATATTTAATAAACCGATTACCTTTGTCACGAAACGGTTTTCTATAATGTATGTGTCGATAACCTTGTCCAAACTCAAAATCCCGACTTCATTTCGTGACACAAATTCTTGTATAAAAATCTACAAATGTCCAACAAAATAAAGAATTAATCGTACCAATTATTTAAAAAATTAAATAATTTGTTTGAGAAGAATCCTAGGGTTTGATCATTAAGTCTAAGATTGGATAAGAGTTTAAAGTGTGGGGTACGGGTATTAGGTTTAATCAATCTAAGGGGTTTGGTATAGAATAATCCAATAAGGAGGATTCATAAAAATATTAGATACAGTGGTTTGATTTTATTTTGTTCTCGATATTATACACTAAAATAATTAAAATGTTTTCACAAGATGTTATCTATACTATATTATAAAGCATTTGAAAAAAACTCTTAAAAATAATATTTTATGTATAAAATATTGTTTATTGATGCATATTACTTAAAATTCAATATTACAAACATATTGTGCATAAGTACAACTTATTAAAGCTTTGTTTTTTAATTCTTATAACTAATTGCAAATAAACATAATCAAATACATGATTAACATCTCATTTTCAATATAAAAAATTAAAATATAATTAGGAAAATTATTGAATTTTAACAGAGTACTTAATTATCATCCTTATAAAAATTATATTAGTAAATAAAATAAATTACTTTATTATTAAATCTAAATTAAATTATAATAAAAAATTGAATTAAAGAAATTACACAGAAAATGGGAACTTTTAAATAGTTAAATCAATACTAATATCGATACATTTTCTTTTCAAATTTATATTTCGTTTAAAATAAAAATATTATCGTTTTCTAAAACCACCTAAAACCGTATTATATCGATAGAGAAAATGAATAAAAAAAAACTTTAAATTGAGATATATCTCGTTGCATTAATTGCACGAGTACCTTTCTAGTACGTTATAACTTACACGTTTTAGAACCAGTTTGTTAGAACATCTCCAACATGTATGTTATATTTTCTCTTTCTTATTTTACGTTTGGAAATTTTTCCATTCTTTATTTATTTTAGAGAACAGCTTAACACAGTCGTTGGAATAAAAAAATTCAGATCTCTAAAATTTAAAAAAACGACATAGATGTTAAAGATACTATTCAGTTGATTTTTTTTGAAAACTATCAATAAAATGATACTTTAAATGCTTTTTTACAGCATATTTTGAAAAGACACAACTTGAAAAGGGGGTCAATATATTTGAAAAACAAAAAAGAGAGAAGAAGAAAGAAAAGATAAGCTTCCCTTTAATTTCAATTTCTATATTTTTCATTTTAATTGTTTGAAAAATAATATTAATTCATATTATTCATATATTCACAGTTATATCGATTTTTTTTACTTATAATTTTAGCCATATTCACTTGAACAAAAATAGATTCGATTGGGACAATTTGTCAAGCAGAAAACCAATTTGTCTATGAATTGATGATATTTAAAAGATTATTCATGATATTTAATTAAAATCAGATGAAAATCATATAAACTTACTGTGATTTTAAGTGCATAAGCATAATATTCGGCAAATTTTATATCGAGTATTTAGTTTAGAAAACTGAAAATACAATATCTATTTATATGTTTTATCTCAAAGGAGTTCTTGTTAACATAATTGTCGATTATAATTTTTTACACGAAAAACTTTAAGTTAGACATGATAAATGTTTAATTGAAGGTTAGTGACTTAGTGTTTGCTCATAAATAGATATATGCAAAGCTATTTAACTGTCTGTTAAGACCAGTTATACTCAGACACGATCAAAACCACAAGAAATGAAAACAAAAAAGATATAAACACATATATAAAAGTCTGTGTGTGTGCCTGATTGCGGTCTGTGTGCGTGAGGGAGGGGGTTCGGAAGATTTCCTACATCCACAAACGTTGCTAGCAGTTTATCATACGAGTTGGGACCTCTATTAGAAACCGAAGCATGCTACATTTGAATATTCTTTTAAAAGTATGATAGTAAATAATCAATGAAAAAATGCAGAATTGATAGCATTTTGTCTTTGGAATAATATATCGAGACTCAAAACTGAATAAACACGTTAAAAGGTTTTTGTATTTTTAGAATATATTTTTCCAAATATTTTTATAAATTTTTTAAAGAATGTATAGTTTTAAAACAGCCTGTAAAAAAAAAAAAAAAACAAGTACATAGAAAATGGATGAAAAGAACATGTGTTAACTTAGCCACCATGGCCCACTTTTAGCCACATTTGCTTCTCAATTATTTGAATGGTTAATTTGATGGCATTCAAGATGGTCCTCAATGGTGGCTCTACCCCTTTTTCCTTTATTACTTTCTACTTTTACTTTTTAG